CCCCACCTCTAAGGTCCTGCTGAGTAAAACCCCCTCCCTGCCTCTGCTTGAGTAAAATCTACTGCTCCAGTGGCACCTTCTGCTTCTCCTGCACTGCCTTCCTCTGAGGAATAGGAAAGTTATCTGCACCCACTGCCCCCCCCATACAATCCTCCTGCTCCCTTGAGAGGCCACAACCCCACATCTCAGGCTGCCCTCTGGGAGGAGTGACCCAGGGCCTGATATTCACTAGACCCTCCAAGAGACTTGACCTCTGTGAGCATCTTGGGTCAGCCCTAGTCAGTTCTGAAACCCAGAACCAGGAAAAGATAAGAGGGTGGGCTGAGGTCACACCACCCTGTAACATTTCCAAAGGGAAACCTCAACCCAAATACATTCTCAGAAGGTGTCTACCTAGGGAAGATGAAATGAAAGACAGATTTTATTTCACCGCAGAGTGTCAGGAGGTTATTGTCTGATTTCTTCACATGTGAAATGTTCGTGAGCACAAACAATACTTTTAAAAAGAGCCATACATTGTTAACTGAAAACAAAACGGCAAACCACTGCCTCTGTTTGAAATATTGCCCTGGGGGGACAGAGTTCATAAAATTGCTGTGAATTCAGGAAAGTCAGCTTGGGGAAAAGGAATTTGCTGCCAGCCCTAGGAGGAATTAGGATGAGGGAACAGGGTGGTGGATTTGAGACCTTGCTGCCCACATCTTCGGAAGACTCAGACGGGAAACGGTCGCCTTTGAAAAGAAAGAGGGACTGAGGACCACAGAGACCACAGCTCCTCCCACACACAAACCCCACACACGAGTCTGGATTCTGCCTGGTGACCCTCCTGTCGTCACCGTGCAGCCTCCTCACCGGGTTCACAGGAACTGCGAGCCAGGCTGGAGGCGAGGTTGCAGTTGATATTAATCAGGTGCCCTCAGCCCCGCAGCCTCACGGGGCGGCCTCCCTGGGAGTCAGGTCACGGCAGACGCCGGCTTCCCCACTGTGCCCGGGGATAAGATCTCTGAGAGCTGCTCAAGAGTCGCCTGAGTTCTTTCTCAGATCCTGAATTCCAGCGGAAAGCTTGGCGCCAAGCAGGCTGAAGACCCCACAAGGGAGACCACTCGGCAGGAGAACGCGGTTCTTCACTTCCCGACCCAGGATTCGCCCCTCACTTCCCCACCATTCGGCGACCCCACACCCCAGCCGCCCCCGTCCGGACCCCTAAACACCCCATCCCCAAACCTCTCAGGAGGGCAGATCTGGGGTGTCCTCTCTCCCCCTGTTAAACTGTTTCTGCCGCAGCTCTTGGCGTCTGGGCGCTGTGACTCGGGCCGTGAATCCGTGTGAGTTACAGCCACACAATCTGGGGAGACGCGGGGGTGCTGGCGCGGAGCTGCTCAGAGAGGGCCGGGGTTGCCTCGCAGGGGGACGCAGGTCTGCAGACCCGGCAGTCGCCTGCGGGGAGGCCGGGGTCCCGTCACAGCCGGTTCCGGCCAACCCCTCCCCCAAGCCTGGGGACTCTTGGCCCCGCACCCTCACTTCCAGGCTTCCACAGCGTCCGGAGCCCTCTCTCAGCCTCCCACAGCCAGATCCCTGCGGGACAAAGGCTGCTGTAGAACTAACAGGGCGGATCTCAGCCAGAACCGGGAACTGGAGTGCAGGGATGTGGCTTCCTCCTTGCGCTGTGACCTGACCCTTCCCAGGGGACTTTGTATTGAAGCTGCATTTCCCTTCTGGACGCAATGGTCCCTTTCTGCTTCTTCCTCCTGGACAGGGACTCACAAATGCGTGGAGGGAATTCCAGACCCCTTGTCCAGTGCAGCCATCCCTCGGTGTCAAAGCAGGAGGGGAGCTCAGGCCACGCAGGCCACACTGCAGCAGGAGGGAGTGTGGAGTCCTAATCAGGGAGGAGAAGTCGGGCTGACAGGAGCAGGGAAAGCAAAAAGAGAAAGCAGATAAGCTACAAGTCTGCCTTTCCTTATGGTCCAGGACACACAGTCTGCTTGTGCAAATGACTCACAATCTTCCTCGCCCAGCTATCACCAGACACCTCTGGGCTGATAGGAAATTGCAAATTAGCACAAACAATACTTTTTTAAAAAGCCATACATTGTTAACTGAAAACAAAATGTCAAACTCCTGCTTCTGTAGTTTGCAGCCTTGGCATTAGCAGAACTGCACAAGCCCTCGTCAGCTCACAGCAAAAGCACCATCTATAAAATCCCCAGCACACGTCTGCTCCCTGGCAGTCAGCTCTCCTCTCGCTCACTTGCCTGTTGCATCCTTGCAAAATATTTTTCTACTTTCTACTAATAAAAGCATTTTCTACTTTCACTAATAAACCTGTCTTTCTTTACCTACAACTGTTTGGTAAATTGTTTTTACTGTCCATGCGACCCTGACCCCAGATATTCACCACCAGTGACAGGGAGGGCCAATGTCCTCCAGGCAGCAGACATGTGGGACGAGGCTGCTGGCAACAGAGCCAGGTCTTTCTCCCACCTTGTCTCTCAATTTGCCAATTTTCAGCTCTGAAAGTAAAAACACACCAACCACAAAATAAAATTGTTAAATGCACAGAAAAACTGGAATTATATGGCAGCAATTTCTTATAAAGAATTAAAAAAGAGGCTGGGGACAGTGGCTAACACCTGTAATCCCAGCACTTTGGGAGGCCAAGGCAAGTGAACCCTTAGGTCAGGAGTTCTAAACCAGTCTGTCCAACATGGTGAAACCCTGTCTCTACCCAAAATACAAAAATTAGCCAGTTGTGGTGGCGTGCAGCGGTAATCCCAGCTACTCAGGAGGCTGAGGCAGGAGAATGACTTGAACTTGGTGGAGGCAGAGGTTGCAGTGAGCTGAGATTGTGCCACTGCACTCCAGCCTGGGCAACAGAGAGAAACTCCATCTAAAAAAAAAAAAAAAAAAACAGGAAAAAATACATGAATTAGGTCAGATAAGTAGCCTGCAGCATTTATATTTCACAAGCAAATCCCCATCTAGGAGGATAAACATATTCCCAAGCTTGAGAGTATAAATGGAAAAGTGACTGAGGCAGATCTCAAATGAATTGAGGTTTCTTTTTACTAGGCTGAGGATGTGTCACGAAAAGAGAAACACAAGTCCCAGTCACAGTAGATCTGCATCCTGTGGTTTTTCCAAAGAGGGTTTGGGGTCTTAAATATTTAGAGAGGCAAGAGAGGGCAGGAAGGGAAAGAGGGCAGGGAAAAAAAAAGGTGGAGGTAGGCAATGGGTCACATTCTTCTGAGGCTCTGATTAGTGCTCTGTGCATCTACACTGTACATGTGGAAAGAAAGAGAGGGAGGAGGAGTCATGCATTCATCACATGCTCACATTTACATTTTAAGTAAGATTAAAATCAGCATGTGAAATTACAGCTATCGCTGGGCACGGTGGCTCAACCTGTAATCCCAGCACTTTGGGAGGCCAAGGCAGGCAGATTATGAGGTCAGGAGTTCGAGACCAGCCTGATCAACGTGGTAAAACCCCATCTCTACTAAAAATATAAAAATTAGCTGGGTGTGGTGGTGCACACCTGTAATCCCAGCTGTAATCTCCAGCTGAGGCAGGAGAATCACTTGAACCCAGGAGGCAGAGGGTGCAGTGAGCCAAGATTGTGCCACTGCACTCCATCTTGGGCGACAGAGCAAGACTCCATCTCAAAAAAAAAAAAGAAAGAAAAAAAAAGAAATTGCAGCTATTTGCTTGGGAACAAGAAAGGAAGTTTCTGTATGATTCATTTCCCAATCTTAACTCTCCCTCTGGCACAGTGAGGTTTGGGTCCTGAGATTTTGTTTTCCTTTTACAGAAAGCCAGACTCTGACTACTGTAATGAAGGCCCTGAGTGGATCAGAACCTGCTGATGAGACAGGGACACTTAAAGGTTTAATACTGGAACTCACTATGCCCTCCTGTTTTCTCTCCAGGGTGTAAAAACACTCTCTGCTTCAAGATCTTCATTTCCACCAGCAGGAAACTCACCTAAAGTCAGTTTACAGTACTGACCTACATAAACTGCCAAATTCATCAACACTTTCTTCACGAGGCAATCCAATGGGTCTTTGTCAAAGTCTGATCTTTATAGGTTTCCCTCATATGCACAAATTACAATCTAACTCTAATCAACACACCTGAGCATGCTGAGGCCTCCAGTATTTTTACAAAAGATGATCAGAGTAAAATATTCTGCCTACAGGCCAGGCGTGGTGGGTCACACCTGTAATCCCAGCACTTTGGAAGGCCTAGGCGGATGGATCACCTGAGGTTGGGAGTACAAGACCAGCCTGACTAACATGGAGAAACCCTGTCTGTACTAAAAATACAAAATTAGCCTGGCATGGTGGTACATGCTTATAATCCCAGCTACTCGGGAGGTTGAGGCCGGAGAATTGCTTCAACTCGGGAGGCAGGGGCTGCAGTGAGAAGATCACGTCATTGCACTCCAGCCTGGGCAGCAAGAGCAAAACTCCATCTCAAAAAAAAAAAAATCTGTCTATATTCGCAATAAGCAGGTAGTGTAACAGGTTATGGAGGACAGAAAAAAATAAAAATGGATGTGGAACTATCACAATCTTATGCTAGAAGATGGTGGTTTCTTTTTCTTTTTTCTCTTTTCTTTTTTGAGACAGGGTCTCATTCCCACACCTGGGCTGGAGTGCAGTGGTATGATCTTAGCTCACTGCAGCCTTGACCTCTGGAGCTCAGGCAATCCTCCTCCCACTTCAGCCTCCCAAGTAGCTGGGAGTACGGGTGCCCACCACCACACTCAGCTAATTTTTTACATTTTTTTATAGAGCCGGGGTTTGGTCATGTTACTCAGGCTGGTCACGAACACCTGTGCGTTAAACTCTTCAATCAAATGACAAGACATCTTACTTTTAATTTGAAAACATGAGGATTGCCCCATATTTTTATAAAGTAAAAGTACCAGGTATAAAAGCATTATGAAGTGGAAGCTGGAACCCAGGGCTAAAAAGAAAGGAGCCAAACATTGGACGTCATTAGATGAAGCAAAATCTTTAATCAACTTGTAAAAACTGTATCATTTTCTGCCATGACAAGTGGGCATGTTAGGAAAATAAGCAAAAAAAAAATGATGTCTGAGTATAACTAATGAAGAAATAAAACTATTTCCTTAGGAAACTACACACACACACACGCACACACACGCGCGCACGCACATACACGCACGCACACGCACACACGCACGCACGCGCACACGCACGCACACGCACACACACACGCGCGCGCACACGCATGCACGCACACACGAACACAAGTCTAAAATTACAGGACATCTTTCCATCCCAGAAAAACAAACCACTGCTCTGTAAGATGCTCCACTCCTCACTCCACATTAACTGCTCCTGGAATAATGTCACATTTTGTTGTTTGCAGACAGGCATTAAAAGAGGCTGCAGTGAGTCAAACTAAGTGGGTGTCAGAGGTTCACTTACAGACTTTGTATATTTTTACAAACTGTAGCAATCAAGTTGTCGAGTATTGTGTTGATTTAAATACATATAAAAACTTTGAGACAAAAATAGATGTTCACATCACCATGATGAAAAAAAGTCAGTAATGGTGATTCCTCCATGAAACTAGAAAAGAAATCCAGTGATTAAACTTAGCAGTTCCAAAGGTATCATTGCCCTGAGGACAGTGATCCCTTTTTGGCACCAGGGACTGGTTTCATGAAAGACAAGTTTCCCACAGACTGCGGGGGAGGGATATGGTTTGGGGATGATTCAAGTGCATTAAATTTATTGTGCACTTTATTTCTTTTCTTTTCTTTTTTTGAGATGGAGCCTCACTCTGTTGCCCAGGCTGGAGTGCAGTGACACCACCTTGGCTCACTGCAACCTCCGCCTCCTGGGCTCAAGTGATTCACCTGCCTCAGCCTCCTGAGTAGCTGGGTTTACAGGCATGCACCACCATGCCTGGCTAATTTTTGTATTTTTATTAGAGATGGGGTTTCACAATGTTTGCCAGGCTGGTCTTGAACTCCTGACCTCAAGTGATCCACCTGCCTCAGACTTCAAAAGTGCTGGGATCACAGGCATGAGCCACCACGCTGGGCTGTGCATTTTATTTATATTATTATTATTATTATTATTTTGACATGGAGTCTCGCTCTGTCACCCAGACTGGAGTGCAGTGGCATGATCTCAGCTCACTGCAACCTTCGCCCCCCTGGGTTCAAGCAATTCTCCTGCCTTAGCCTCCTGTGTAGCTGAAATTACAGGTGCCAGCGACCATGCCTAGCTGATTTTTGAATTTTTAGTAGAGACGGGGTTTTACCATGTTGGTCAGGCTGGTCTCGAACTTCTGACCTCAGGTGGTCTGCCACACTTGGCCTCCCAAAGTGCTGGGATTACAGGCGTGAGCCACCGCACCCAGCCTTATTTCTATTATTATTACATTGTAATATATAATGAAATAATTATACAATTCACCATAATGTAGAATCAGTGAGAGCCCTCAGTTTATTTTCCTACAACTAGATGGTCCTATATGGGGGTGATGGGAGACAGTGACAGATCATCAGGCATTCGATTCTCATAAGGAGCATACAACCTAGATCCCTTACATGTGCAGTTCACAACAGGGTTCCTGCTCCCATGAGAATCGAATGCTACTGCGATCTGACAGGAGGCAGAGTTCAAGCAGTAATGTGAGTCGTCCAGTTCCTAACAGGTCATGGACCTGTTACCAATCCGTCGCCCAGAGGTTGGGCATCCCTGCCCTAGGCGACATCTTGAAGATCTATTTGAAGTACATTTCTTTTCTTTTTTTTTTGAGACAGAGTCTTGCTCTGTCACCCAGGCTGGAATGTAGTGGCGCCATCTCAGCTCATTGCAACCTCTGCTTCCTGGGTTCAAGAGATTCTCCTGCCTCAGCCTCCCAGTACCTGGAATTACAGGCACGCACCACCATGCTTGGCTAATTTTTTGTATTTTGATCACTTGAGGTCATCCTCCTGGGTAGCTGGGATTATAAGTGCCCATCACGATGCCCAGGTAATTTTTATATTTTTAGTGGAGACAGGGTTTTGCTATGTTGGTCAGGTTGGTCTTTAACTCCTGAGCTCAGGTGATCTACCTGCCTCGGCCTCCCAAAGTGCTGGAATTACAGTGCTGAGACTACAGGCGTGAGACACCATGCCCAGGCTGAAACACATTTCAATGCAAGTTATTCCCCTGAATAAAGCATCAGCTCTTATCAAGACCTAAAGTGATCGAATGCTTGCCAAAAGCTACCATCAACCCTGTTTTGTTTCATTCAAACTCTCTGTGGCCTGTGACAGAGCTGGCCACTCTCCCATCTTGAAATACCTTCTCCTGGAGGATTCCAGGAAAGGACACCCAATCCATTCTACTCCTAAGTCACTGACCTGCCCAGTCTCTTGCAGGCTGCTCCTCCTGCTAACCTCAGAGGTGGACAGCCACTGGTCTCCTCCTGAGATTTGTCTTCTGCTATACTTTTCCCCTTACCCTGAAACAAGTTGGTCTCTGCTGGACCCAGAGCTTCAAATAGCATCTATATAATAATGTTCTCAAAATTTCATTTAGATCTTTCTCTCAAGCTCCAGATCCAATACCCTGGTCAACCCTTCTCTTGTGTTGCTCAAAGTGCCATGAGTGATTACATAACATGACCCTTCATTTCCCCTCCAGTCATCTCCCCTGGCCCTGCTCCTCTGAGTGAGGGGCAGCACCCAGAGGCTCTGAAAATAAGACTCATCCTTGACTCTCTTCTCTCCTTCACACCATCAGAAATCCTATGGGAGCTACACCTTCCTGTGTAACTCCTCAACCTTCAGGATTTTTTTTTTTTAGATGGAGTCTTTCTCTGTCACCCAGGCTGTAATGCAGTGGCCTGATCTCAGCTCACTGGAACCTCCACCTCCAAATCCAAGTGATTCTCCTGTCTCAGTCTCCCATGTAGCTGGGATTACAGGCCTGTGCCACCAAGCCTGGCTAATTTTTGTATTTTTAGTAGAGATAGGGTTTCACCATGTTGGCCAGGCTCATCTGGTCTGGAATTCCTGACCTTAAGTGATCTGCCCACCTCAGCTTCCCAAAGTGCTGGAATTATAGGCGTGAGCCACTGTGCCCAGCCACCTTCAGGTTGTTTGTTTGTTGAAACAGAGTCTTGCTCTGTTGCCCAGGCTTGAGTGCAGTGGCATGATCTTGGCTCACTGCAACTTCTACCTCTGGGGTTCAGTCGATTTTCCTGCCTCAGCCTCCGGGGTAGGTGGAATTATAAGCGCCCACCACGATGCCCAGCTAATTTTCGTATTTTTAGTGGAGAAGGGGTTTCGTCATGTTGGTCAGGCTGGTCTCTAACTGCTGAGCTTAGCCTCAGCAGTTAGATCTGCCCTCCTCAGCCTCCCAAAGTGCTGGAATTACAGGTGTGAGCCACTGTGCCAGCCACCTTCAGGTTTTCAATTTGAGAATTAGTCCCAGTGGGAAAGCCTCCTCTAACCTCTCAGACTAGTGTGAGAACCCCCTCTACCATCATATTTTAGAGCCACACACTCTTCTCTACTGCACTGAAGATGATCACCCCTGATCATTTATGTGCAGAACTGCTAAATAGTGTGATTGACAGGGCCTTTCCCTACGCTGGAATCTGGCTCCAAAAACACAGCTTGGGTTCATAACTAGACTTCTCAAAACACAACCTTTGGTCGATACCCACTAACATTACCCAAACCCAGGCCAGTATGACCTCTCTTCAAACTACAACTATGGCTTTTAAGCTGGTCTCCCAGCTCTCCTCTACCATCTATTCTCTGCCCACCAGCAGGAGTAGACTTCTTCAAACAAAAACCAAACATCACTTCCCTGCTCAAAGTCGTATAAAAGTCCATAACCTAGCCCACAAGGCCCCATGGGATCTGTCTCCTGCCTGCCTATCTAACCACGTCTTTTATTACCTCAGCACTCTAACTGTGGTCCATGGACCAATATAATGACACATGGGAGTGAGTTAGAAATGCAGACTCTCAGCCGGGTGTGGTGGCTCAATGCCTGTAATCCCAGCACTTGGGAGGCTGAGGTGGTGGATCGCGAGGTCAAGAAGTCAAGACCATCCTGGGCAACATGGTGAAACCCCAACTCTACTGAAAATACAAAAATTAGCTGGGCATGATGGCATGTGCCTGTAGTCCCAGGTATTCGGGAGGCTGAAGCAGGAGAATTGCTTGAACCCAGGAGGCAGAAGTTGCAGTGAGCTGAGATCGCGCCACTACACTCCAGCCTGGTGACAAAGCAAGACTCTGTCTCAAAAAAAGAAAAAAAGAAAAGCAGGCCAGGTGCGGTGGCTCACACCTATAATCCCAGCACTTTGGGAGACCGAGGCGGGTGGATCACGAGGTCAAGAGATCAAGACCATCCTGGTCAACGAGGTGAAACCGAGTCTCTACTAAAAATACAAAAATTAGCTGGGCATGGTGGTGTGCACCTATAATCCCAGCTACTTGGGAGGGTGAGGCAAGAGAATTGCTTGAACCCAGAAGGCGGAGGTTGCAGTGAGCCAAGATCATGCCATTGCACTCCAGTCTGGGTAACAACAGCGAAACTCCATCTCAAAAAAAAAAAAAAAAAGAAAAAAGAAATGCGGACTCTGACACTCCATCCCTAACCTACTGAACCAGAAGCTGAATTTGAACATCCATAGTTCCCTGTGAAATTTCAGAAGTCTTACAATTTTCCTTCTTAACTTAACCCAGCCATAAGGATATTTGCATATTCCTCACCACTGGGGTATTTGAATCAACAGAACATCTCAGGTGCGGGCACCAAGGGGCTGGGGCTGCAACTGGGAGAGGAGACAAGTGAGACATCCTCAAGAAGATGATGTGGCAAGGGTGAGGCTGCCTTCCCAGGGCTGCTATGGCCTGGCCCACTGCTCTTGAAGTGCAGGAATGGCCACTCGTGGGAACTGATCAGGAGGATGCATGCGTGGTCAGCAATACACTGAGGCTGCAGCGCTTGCACAGTGCAACCAATGTACTCAACCTGGGATTCAAGGAAGCATGTGCACCAGCAGGCAGCCAAAGTACACAGGTCCTCCTGGTTGATCAGCCCATACTGCTCAGGGTGGGGCTGAAAGTGTGGAGAAGAAGGGTTTTCTTTGCTCCAAGAGGCCAGTGGTAAAGTCACAACAAATATCAAAATGTCATGTTTCAGAAGCTCTTTAGTTATACAGCAATTTTAAACCATTTAAGAATTAAACATATTTCTGGACACAGTGGCTTACACTTGCAACCCCAGCACTTTCAGAGGCTTAGGTTGGAGAATTGCTTGGGGCCAGGAGCTAGAGACCAGCCTGGGCAACATAGTGAGACTCCCATCTCTAAAAAAAATTAGCAAGATGTGGCAGAGTGTTCCCTCTAGTTCCAGTTACTTGGGAGGCAGAGATAGGAGGATGCCCTGAGCCCAGGTTCAAGGTTTCAGTGAGCTATGATCATGCCACTGCACTCTACTCTGGTGACAAAATGAGCCCCTATCTCTAAACAGAAAAATTTAAAAAGAGACGATTAAACCTACTTGTATATTAGAAATATACTTCAAGCAACTCAAGAATCCAAGAGAAAAAAAAAAAGAATCCAAGATAATACAAAATGTAAAGAAAAATTTTATTAACTGATTTTATTAAACACTATTCAACTTATAAAGCTTTATGTGAAGAAAACTTGCAAAAATATCTCACATCAATTTTTGTATAAAAGTAAGAATAGGAATTTGTAGTGTAGACTCATGTTAAGAATGAGGCACTGGTACTGATAATAGAGTTATATATTTTCTTTCTCTCTTTCTTTTTTTTTTTTTGAGACAGAGTCTCACTCTGTTGCCCAGGCTAGAGTGCACTGGCGCCATCTTGGCTCACTGCAACCTTTGCCTCCCAGGTTCAAGAGATTCTCCTGCCTCAGCCTCCCAGTATTTTTGTATTTTTAGTAGAGACGGTTTTTCATCATCTTGGCCAGGCTGGTCTCAATCTCTTGACCTCATGATCCACCCACCTTAGCCTCCCAAAGTGCTGGGATTAAGGTGTGAGCCACCTCACCTGGCCAGGAAACTCCTAAACTTGTCTGTAGATAGATGCTGCACATGGAATTAGTCCTAGTCCTTGGAAAGTTATGTGATTTTTAATTCAATAGTGTATGTTATTGTGAACACAGTATATGTTTCCTTCCTAAGCAGGAAACTGAATCCATTAACAGTGTTCATAGTTTTTAGGTTTTTTTTTTTTTTTTTTTAGACAGGGTCTCATTCTGTCACCCAGGCTAGAGTGCAGTGGTGCGATCTTGGCTCACTGCAGCGTCAACTTCCCAGACACAAGCAATCCTCCCACCTCAGCCTCCTGAGTAGTTAGGACTATAGGGACATGCTACCAGGCCTGGCTAATTTTTTGTAGAGATGAGGTTTAGCCATGTTGCCCAGGTTGGTCTTGAACTACTGGGCTCAAGCAACCCATCCACCTCAGCCTCCCAAAGTGCTGGGATTACAGGCATGAGCCACCACTCGTGGCCAACAGTGTTAATAGTTTTCCAGTTGTTTTGTCTTTAGTTTCCCAGACAATTAATGCTATCATGGTCAAGCATCATATTTGCTTCCTCCATCCCTTTCAACATATTGATCATTGCTTTTTTTGGCATTAAGTAATAGAGACTACTGTAACAATTGATTGGAGTGAAATTGACATATTTGCTTTTGTTAGGTTCTGTTCCCTCTTTCACTGGGAAGCCTCTCACCCAGTTCCTCATCATGCTCTGTATGTGTTTTACACCTTAACCAGAATCTACCAATGTTCACATTCAAAATGAAAGACAAAACAAATACTTTCCTAGGCTTAAAAATATGAACATTGAGAGAATTTTTCCTGGACATTAGCCCTACAAGACCAAGGTGGCCAGGTGTGGTGGCTCACGTCTGTAATCTCAGCACTTTGGGAGGCCGAGGCTGGTGGATCACCAGACGTCAGGAGCTCAAGACAAGCCTGGCCAGCATGGTGAAACCCCATCTCCACTAAAAACACAAAAAATTAACCGGGCATGGTGGTACGTGCCTATAGTCCCAGCTACTTGGGAGGCTGAGGCAAGAGAATTGCTTGAACCCGGGAGGCAGAGGTTGCAGTGAGCTGAGATCGCATCACTGCACTCCAGCCTGGGTGACAGAGCAAGACTCTGTCTCAAAAAAAAGAAAGAAAGAAATATTGTCAATTCAATATCCAACTTCACCACATCCTCACTCTACTTTTCACAAAACAGTAGCAAAATGCACCAAGATCTGCACCACTGTATATGAAGGACCGTCTTTTCTCCACTGTGCAATAACATCATCCTCAATTCCTTTTATATTATATTGTATTGTATTATATTATATAAAAATTGGCCAGGCACAGTGGCTCATGCCTGTAATCCCAGCAATTTGGGAGGCTGAGGCGGATGGATCACCTGAGGTTGGGAGTTCAAGACCAGCCTGGCCAACATAGTGAAACCTTGTCTCTATCAAAAATACAAAAAAATTAGCTGGGCCTGGTGGCACTTCCTGTAATCCCAGCTACTCCACAGACTGAGGCAGGAGAATTGCTTGAACCAGGAAGGTTTTTTTTTTTTTTTTTTTTTGAGACAGAGTCTCACTCTCGTTGACCAGGTTGGAGTGCAGTAGTGCAAGCTTGGCTCACTGAAACCTCCGTCTTCCTGATTCAAGTGATTCTCCTGCCTCAACCTGCAGAGTAGCTGGTATTACAGGCAAGTGCCAACACACCCGGCTAATTTTTTTGTATTTTTAGTAGAGACGGGGTTTCACCATGTTGGCCAGGCTGGTCTAGAACTCCTAACCTGAGGTGATCCACCCACCTCGATCTTCCAAAGTGCTGGGATTATAGGTATGAGCCAGCATGCCTGGCCTAATTTTATTTTTAGAGACAGGATCTTGCTCTGTCACCCAGGCTGGAGTGCAGTGGCACAATCATAGCTCACTGCAGCCTCAAACTGCTGGGCTCAGGCAATCCTCCTGACACAGCCTCTCAAACAGCTTGGAATACAGGTGCACAGCATGCCCAGCTAATTTCTTCTTCTCTTTTTTTTTTTTTTTTTTTTTGGCAAGACAAGGTCTCATTATATTGTCCAGGCTGGTCTCAAACTCGAGGCTCAAGTGATCCTCCTGCCTCAGCCTCCCAAGTGGTCAGGACTACAGGCAAGCTCCACCCCATGCCTGGTAATTTATGTGTGTGTAAGATGACATCTCTCTATTTTGTCCAGGTTGGTCTCCAACTCCTTAGAACAAAAACCAGTTGTGTGCTTCTAACATATAATGATTGGACAGGGGTAAGATAAACACTCCTATTCCCACGGGGAGCAACAGAGACGAGGAAGAGTGAGGGTTCCCAAGCAAGTCCAAAACTCGAGAGGAAAACTTCATGAGTTTTTTTTTTTTTGGAGACAGAGTTTCACTCTTGTTGCCCAGGCTAGAGTGCGATGGTGAGATTTCGGCTCACAGCAACCTCCGCCTCCCAGGTTCAACTGATTCTCCTGCCTCAGCCTCCTAAGTAGCTGGGATTACAGGCGTGCGCCATCATGCCCTGCTAATTTTGTATTTTTAGTAGAGACGCAGTTTCTCCATGTTGGTTAGGAGAAAGCAATCCTCCTGCCTTTGCCTCCCAAAGCACTGCGATTACAGGTGTGAGCCACCTTGTCCTTGCCCTATCCTCAGTTCTGAGAGCTCATCAATATTTCCTTTACTGTCTATCTATTTACCAACATCTTATACATTACTTTTTATATTCCAGACTAAGAGGGAAGCTTTCTCTATGCATGTCCTCTTCCTTGAGCCTTTACCAGTATCAAAAGACAAAATTGTAACAAATTCAGGTGCTGAGATTTAGTGTCTGCTGGGGGCCTGTTGCCTGGATCATAGACAGTTGCACTGATGTCTTCACAAGGCAGTGAGTGAAACAAGCTCAGGGAACTCTCATTATGAAACCAGTCTCATTCTTAGAGCTCCACTCTCAAGATCTAACCTAATCCTTATTATATCACAAAGAACCCATTCCCTAATCCTGTCACTATAGAGAAGCAGATTAAAACAAAGGTATTCTATGGAAACACATTTATTTCATAACAAGTGGTTTTTTTGTTGTTGTTGGCTTGAGTTTTATAAAGATCTTCAATACACTCTCTTACCATATATGATTTGGAAATAGTTTCTTCCACTCTATCAGTTGTCTGTTTACTCTGCTAATGTTGCTTTTGGATGCCAAAAGTCTTTAAATTCCACAACATCCAATTTATTTTTTCTCTTGTGGGTCATGCCTTCGGTGCCATATGCAGGAAGTAACTGCAAAATCTGATGTCATCAAGCTTTTGCCCTGTATTTTCATCTAAGAGTTTCTAGATGTAGGACTCCATTTTAAGTTCACTTTTGTATATAGCATTAAAAAAAGGTAAAACTTCATTGTGTTGCATATGGATATGCATTTCCACCCAGCACCATTCTCTGCAAAAACTATTCAATCCCTCAATTCATGCTTGTTGCACACCTGTCAAAAATTATTGGACTCTCTATCCAAATGCACGTTTCTGTGCTATTTTTGTTGCATTGGTCTATTTCTGTGTCATTATGCTAGTACCAAACTGTTTATATTAGTATAGATTTGCAGTAAGTTTTGAAATCAGAAAGTGTAAGTCCATCAACTTTATCATTGTTTTACAAGACTTCTTTCTTTTCAGAGTTCCTTGTGATGTCATATGTTAAAAAAAAAAAAAAAGAAGTTATGTGAAATAATGGATCCTAAAAAGCAACTGAGTGGTCAAAGCTATCCCTAAAAAGCTACCAGGGAGCAAAAAGTGTGATCTCTCAGTGAGAAAATACAAATCTTAGATGTTTTTGAAAAGTGGCATATCACTTTGGAAAGTGAGCCATAAGGCAAGAACATCTACCACTAAAGCAGAAAGCCAAAATTTCTAGAAATGTCAGAGCTGTCCCTGTATGGGAAAAAAAAAACGTTTCCTCTGGCTCATGACAAAATATGTATAAAGACTGAGAAAGTCTTAGTGTGTGGCTAGAGGTTACCTCAAAGAACCACACCCCTGTTGACGGCAAAAGGATATGTGAAAAGACAGCCTCCATAAGCACCACTGTGAGAGACTGTTAAGAGCTACAGAAAGGCCGGGCGTGGTGGCTCAAGCCTGTAATCCCAGCACTTTGGGAGGCCGAGGCGGGTGGATCACGAGGTCAAAAGATCGAGACCATCCTGGTCAACATGATGAAACCCCGTCTCTACTAAAAATACAAAAAATTAGCGGGGCATGGTGGTGCGTGCCTGTAATCCCAGCTACTCAGGAGGCTGAGGCAGGAGAATTGCCTGAACCCAGGATGTGGAGGTTGCGGTGAGCCGAGATGGCGCCATTGCACTCCAGCCTGGCTAACAAGAGCGAAACTCCATCTCAAAAAAAAAAAAAAAAAGAGCTACAGGAAGGAGTTTTGGGCCAGCAAGGTCTGGCTTAGCTAGCTACACAATACATTAGAGCTTCAAGAACTTGAAGAACATAAGAGAACTGGCCTTGGCTGATGCAAAGGAAACATCAGCATTCCTAGAAAAGCTCATGAAACTCATAAAAAAAGAAAGGCTAATTCCAGAGCAAGTCCTCGATTGTAATGAATCAGGCATGTTCTGGACGAGGATGCCCAATAGTGCCTTCATCACAAGAGTACAAAGAAAGCCTTGGGGTTGATGGCTTGGAAAGATCACCTTACTCTGGTGCTATGTGGCAATTCAGGAGGTCATAAGATCAAACAAAGTCTCATCTACTAAGTAAACAATTCCTGGATCCTTTAAAACAAAAGTAAAACTTGCCTGCCCATGTCCTGACAAAAACACATGAAGACTTGGTTCTACCATTGCTTCCTCCCTGATGTGAATTAATACCTTGAAAAGAAGGGGCTGGGCTGGGTGAGGTAGCTCATGCCTGTAATCCTAGCACTTTGGGAGGCGAGGGCGGGCGGACTGCCTGAGCTCAGGAGTTCAAGACCAGCCTGAGCAACAGGGTGAAACCCCGTCTCTACTAAAATACAAAAAATTAGCTGGGCATGGCAGTGTGTGCCTTTAGGCCCAGCTACTCAGGAGGCTGAGGCAGGAGAATCGCTTGAACCCAGGAGGCAGAGGTTGCAGTGAGCCAAAATCGCAGCACTGCACTGCAGCCTGGGCAACAGAGTGAGACTCTGTCTCTAAAAAAAAAAAAAAAAGAAAGAAAGAAAAGAAAGGGTTGCCCTCCTCATAATTGAGAATGCTCCTGACATTTCTCATCTCTCTTATGCCGATAAAATTGGGGAAGTGATGTTCCTGTCTCCTAAAACCACATCACTGCTGTAACCACTTGATCAGGACATCACCAAGTACATATGGCATCTTATATTCACTGGACTTTTGGAAGGATTTATGCTGTCTTGATGCTAACCCTCACCGGATCACACAGGATTTATGGAAGCACTTCACAACTGCAGACACAATTGTGCTTATTGCAGAGGCTGTAGATGCCCTACAGCTCAAGACAGCCAAAGTGTATTGGAAGCCATTACGGAGTGAGGAAGTCAGTGAGTTCAGACACTTCCCCACTATTGATGTGGTGGTCAGAATATCTTAAGTGTTGTAAGGGAAGTTGGTGAGGAAGGCTACCTCTATCATGACTGAAGACAATGTTGAGGAGCAAAGGAGAAACCCATACTAACAAGGAAATAGAAGATATGCTGAAATCCTCTACAGATAATGATGACAATGCAGATTTAGAAGAGGCAGTGTCATAAGTGATGGCTCATGCCTGTAATCTCAGCATTCTGGGAGGCCGAGGTGGGTGGGTCACTTTAAGTCAGGAGTTCAAGACCAGCCTGGCAAACATGGCGAAACCCCATCTCTACTAAAAATACAAAAATTAGCTGGGCATCGTGGCTGGCACCTATAATCCCAACTACTCAGGTGGCTGAGGCAGGAGGATCACTTGAAACCAGGAGGTAGAGGTTGCAGTGAGCTGAGATTGCACCACTGCACTCCAGCCTGGGCAACAGAGAGACTCTATCGGAAAAAAAGAAGAAGCAGTGCTATAGATTTTGATACTTAAAAAATCTGAAGGCTGGGTATGGTGGCTCATGCCTATAATTCCAGAAATTTGGGAGGCCAAGGCAGGCAGATCTCTTGATTCTAGGAGTTCAAGACCAGCCTGGGAAACATGGTGGAAACTTGTCTCTACAAAAAACACAAAAATTAGTCAGGCACGGTGATGTGTGTCTGTAATCCCAGTTACTTGGGAGACTAAGGTGGGAAGATCACTTGAGCCCAGGAAGTTGAGGTTGCAGTGAAACATGATTTGGCTACTGCCCTCCAGTTGTGGTGACCCATGCACTCTAGGTAACAGAGTGAGAGCCTGTCAGAAGAAAGAAAGAAAGAAAGAGAGAAAGAGAGAGAGAGAAAAAAAGAAAGAAAGAAGAAAAGAAGGAAAGAACTAAGGAAAGAAAGAGGAAGGAAGGAAATTGAAGCAGTTTTAGGGCACCTACAGCTTCTGCTGCAAGGTGCAAGTGTTAAAGACTATCATCCTCAATTAAGGTTCTTCCATGGAAGAAAGCCTCCATGTCACCCCAGTGACACTGTAAAGGTTTTTTTTTTTTTTTTCATGATTAAAACAAAAGAACTAGGCTTGGTGTAGTGGCTCACACCTGTAATCCCAGCACTTTGGGAGGCCGAGGCGAGTGGATCATAAGGTCAGGTGTTCAAGACCAGCCTGGCCAACATGGTGAAACACCATCTCTACTAAAAATACAAAAATTAGCTGGGCATGGTGGCATATGCCTGTAATCCCAGCTTGGGATTTTTGTATATTTTGTATATTTTGTAGAGACAGACTTGGGAGGCTGAGGCAGGAGAAGGGCTTGAACCTCGGAGACAGAGGTTACAGTGAGCCAAGATTGCACCACTGCACTCCAGCCTAGGCAACAGAACGAGACCCTATCTCAAAAAATAAAAGAAAAATAGAAAAAGAACTAGCTTTCTACAACAGTTTCTAATTAAATATCTGCAAATATGAAGACAGACCCTTCAATGCTTAAAGATCTTCAGTCCTCAAACTGAACAGATTCTGACATTAGTATTTAGATTGCTCCCAAAAGTTAGTATCTGCAGTCAGAATCTGGTTCTTCCAATAGAGACGATCATGTTGACATCCTGTCAAGATTCGAGTTAGCCTGAGGTCTCACTGCTTATCTACGGTGTCACCCATCTAGTTGCCTCAACACATCACATTAGGCACCCTACTGCAATCATCATTATACTTTTGTTATCAAGTAAGAAGCACCAGGACTTGGGTGAATGTTAACACACTTTCAGGTCATTAAACAAAAGCAATCTATGAGTGTCGAAAATAAGGATTTATAATGCTCGAAGGACATGTATTATGTACAGGTGTCTGTGACAGTTGGGTCTGTACTGAGTATGTATAGGGTCTTTTTCATATTATTCACTAAATAATTGTTTATTGTTTTAAACAATAAAACAACTACTTCCATAGCTTCTATGACTCATGATATATTTTAACTAATCTATGGATGATTTAGAGTATACAGGAGGATGTGGGTAGGTTACATGCAAATATGTCATTTTTATTTTTTTTTAAATTTTTATTACTTTTTTGAGACAGGATCTCATTCTGTTGCCCATGCCAGAGTGCAGGGATGTGATTTTGATTCATGCAACCTCAACTTCCCAGGCTCAAGTGATCCTCCCACCTCAGCCACCCTAGTAGCTGGGATTACAGGTGTGTGCCACCACACCTGGCTAATTTTTGTATATTTTGTAGAGACAGGGTTTCACGATGTTACCCAGTCTGGCCTCTAACTCCTGGGCTCAAGTGATCCACCTTCCTTGGCCTCTTAAAGTGCTAGGACTACAGATGTGAGCCACTGTGCCTAACCCAAATATGTTTCTTTTCTTTTTTCTTTTTTTGACATGGAGTCTCGTTCTGTTGCCCAGACTGGAGTGCAATGGCGCAATCTCAGCTCACTGCAACCTCCGCCTACAGAGTTCAAGTGTTGCTCCTGCCTTAGCCTCCTGAGTAGCTGGGATTACAGGCATGCGCCACCATGTCTGGCTAAGTTTTGTATTTTTAGTAGAGGAGAGATTTCACCATGTTAGTTAGGCTGGTCTCAAACTCCTGACCTCGTGATCTGCCCAGCTCGGACTCCCAAAGTGCTGGGATTACAGGTGTGCACCATCACACCCAGCCATCTTTTTTCTGTTTTGTTTTGTTTTTTGAGATGGAGTTTTGCTCTTGTTGCCTAGGCTGGAGTGCAATGGTGCAATCTCCGCTCAACGTAACCTCTGCCTCCTGGATTCAAGGGATTCTCATGTCTCAGCCTCCCGAGTAGCTGGGATTACAGGCGCACATGCCACTACACCTGGCTAATTTTTGTATTTTTAGTAGAGATGGGGTTTCATCTTACTGGTCAGGCTGGTCTCAAACTCCTGACCTCAGGTGATCTACCGGCCTCGGCCTCCCAAAGTGCTGGGATTACAGGTGCAAGCTACTGGGCCTATGTTGACAAAGACATTAAAAAAACTGACTGCTTTCCCACATTCCTTACATTCATACAGCTTCTCTCCAGTGTGAGTTGTTTCATAATTTTGAAAGGAATACAAATTATGACAGGCTTTCTCACATTTACATTTATAGGGTTTCTGTCCGGTGTAAGGTTTTCATGTTGTCAAAGGGAACTGGAAATACAGAAGGCTTCATCATTGTTTAGATTCATATTGTTTCTCTCCACTGTGAGACTTTTCATGTCTTTGACATACACTGGGGTAATCAAAGGCTTTCCCACATACCTTGCATTTATGAGGTCCATCTCCAGTGTGCATTATCATGTGTCTTCGAAAGCTTGAGCTATGAGATAACGCTTTCCCACACTGCTTACATTCATAGGGTTTCTCTCCAGTGTGAGACTTTTCATGTCTTTGACATACACTGGGGTAATCAAAGGCTTTCCCACATACCTTGCATTTATGAGGTCCATCTCCAGTGTGCATTATCATGTGTCTTCGAAAGCTTGAGCTATGAGATAACGCTTTCCCACACTGCTTACATTCATAGGGCTTCTCTCCAGTGTGAGACTTTTCATGTCTTTGACATACACTGGGGTAATCAAAGGCTTTCCCACATACCTTGCATTTATGAGGTCCATCTCCAGTGTGCATTATCATGTGTCTTCGAAAGCTTGAGCTATGAGATAACGCTTTCCCACACTGCTTACATTCATAGGGCTTCTCTCCACTGTGAGACTTTTCATGTCTTTGACATACACTGGGGTAATCAAAGGCTTTCCCACATACCTTGCATTTATGAGGTCCATCTCCAGTGTGCATTATCATGTGTCTTCGAAAGCTCGAGCTATGAGATAACGCTTTCCCACACTGCTTACATTCATAGGGTTTCTCTCCACTGTGAGACTTTTCATGTCTTTGACATACACTGGGGTAATCAAAGGCTTTCCCACATACCTTGCATTTATGAGGTCCATCTCCAGTGTGCATTATCATGTGTCTTCGAAAGCTCGAGCTATGAGATAACGCTTTCCCACACTGCTTACATTCATAGGGTTTCTCTCCACTGTGAGACTTTTCATGTCTTTGACATACACTGGGGTAAGCAAAGGCTTTCCCACATACCTTGCATTTATGAGGTCCATCTCCAGTGTGCATTATCATGTGTCTTCGAAAGCTTGAGCTATGAGATAATGCTTTCCCACACTGCTTACATTCATAGGGTTTCTCTCCAGTGTGAGTTCGTTCATGATACTGAACTAAACTGGGACAATCAAAGCCTTTCCCACAGATCTTACATTTATGAGGTCGATCTCCAGTGTGCCTTTTCATGTGTATTTGAAAACTTCCAAGGTGATGAAATGCTTTCCCGCATTGCTTAGACTCATAGGGTTTCTCTGCACTGTGTGTAGTTTCATGTCGTCGAAGGGAACTAGAAACACTGAAGGCTTTCTCACATTGTTTACATGTATAGGGTTTCTCTCCAGTGTGAGTCTTTTTGTGTCTTAGATAGGTACTGTAATCAGGGAAGGCTTTGGAACACTGCTTACATTCATATGCTTTCTCTCCTGTGTGTATTCTCTCATGTCTTAGATAGGAACTGTAAAAAGGAAAGGCTTTAGAACAGTGCTTACATTCATACGGTTTCTCTCCAGTGTGAGTTCTTTCATGCATACGTAATAAGCTGGGCCAATAAAAAGCTTTTCCACACAACTTACATTTATAAGGTCTATTCCCACCTTGCAGTACCATGTGTCTTCGAAGGTTTCTACGAGAACTGAAGGTTTTTCCACATTCCTTACACTCAAAGCATCTCTTTCCAGTGAGAGGCCTTCCATGTGACTGAAAGGAGTGATGATAACTAAAGGTTTTCCCACATTGTTTATGTGTATGTGGCTTCTCTCCATATTCCTGATACACATGTGGTTTGTGTCCAGCATCAACTCTGATCTGGCTATTAAGGAATAAATGACCCACAATGACTTCTTCACACTCGGTGTTTTGACACGGATCTCCTCCAGGATGAATGCTGTTGTTCACAATACTATCTTGAATCTGGCTAAATATTTCTCCACATTGACTATTGTCTTTACTTTCACTGAGTCTCTCTGCCATACGACATCTGTAAAAAATGAGAAGTATGTTACTAAACGGTTGTTTCTAAATGATTTTATGCATATTAATAGGTATCTATTTTTTAAAATTAATTAATAGGGTTTTTTTTTGAGACAGAGTCTTGCTCTGTTGCCAGGCGCCAGGCTGGAGTGCAGTGGTGCAATCTTGGCTCACTGCAACCTCCGCCTCCTGGGTTCAAGCAATTCTTCTGCCTCAGCCTCTCGAGTAGCTGGGATCACATGTGCATGCCACCATGCCCAGCTAATTTTCGTATTTTTAGTAGAGACAGGGTTTCACCATGTTGGCCAGGATGATCTCGATCTCTTAACCTTGGGATCTGCCCGCCTCAGCCTCCCAAAGTGCTGGGATTACAGGTGTGAGCCACCATGCCAGGGCCGTACCTTTTTTTTTTCTGGGAAGGAGTCTTGTTCTGTCACCCAGGCTGGAGTGCAGTGGCACAATCTCAGCTCACTGCAACCTCCCAGGTTCAAGCAATTCTCCTGCCTAAACCTCCCAAGTAGCTGGGATTAGAGGCACATACTACCACTCAGCTAATTGTTGTATTTTTAGTAGAGATGGGATTTCACCATGTTGGCCAGGCTGGTCTCAAACTCCTGACCTCATGATCCACCCACCTCAGCCTCCCAAAGTGCTGAGATTATAGGTGTGAGCCACTGCGCCTGGACAGATATACCTATTTAACACTACCATGCAAAGTATAGGCTTCATGCCCTGTTTAAACATGAATGAACTGAATGCTATATGACAACTCAACACCAGCTGTGTTTTTTGCTTTTTTTTTTTCCTTTATTTTTAATTAATTATTTTTTGAAACAGGATCTAGTTGGAGTACAGTAGCAGGATGATGGTTCATGCAACCGTGACCTCCTGAACTCAAGAGATCTACCCACTTCAGACTCATGAATAGCTGGAACTATAGGAGTGCACCAACACACTTGGCTAATTTTTTAAATTGAGACAGAGTAAGGCCATGTTGCCCAGGCTGGTCTTGAACGCTTGGCCTCAAGCGATCCTCCCACCTTGGCCTCCCAAAGTGCTGGGATTATAGACATGTGCCACCCAACCAAGCCTACCAGCTGTTTTCAAGACAATAATATTCATATGTCAATTCTTTTTTTTTTTTTTTTGAGATGGAGTCTCGCTCTGTGTCCAGGCTGGAGTACAGTCGCGCAATCTCACCTAACTGCAACCTCCGCCACCTCATGCAATTCTCTTACTTAGGCCTCCAGAGCAGCTGGGGTTATAGGTGCACACCACCATGCCCAGCTAACTTTTGTATTTTTGTAAATACAGGGTTTTGCTATGTTGGTCAGGCTGGTCTCAAACTCCTGACCCCAAGGCCTACCTCGGCTTCCCAAAATATTGGGATTATAGGCATGAGCCACCCTGCCCAGTTTCATATGTAAATTCTTAGAATATGTTTTAGGAAAAAATTTTTTAAGAATAAATAAATGTGGGCTGTGACTCACACCTGTAATCCCAGCATTTGGGTAGGCCAATGCAGGCAGATTGCTTGAGCCCAGGAATAAAAGGCCAGCCTGGGAAACATGGCAAAACCCTGTCTCTACAAAAAATGCAAAAATTAACCAGGTGTGGCGGAATGGACCTGTAGTCCCAGCTACTCGGGAGGCTCTGGTGGGAGGATTGCTTGAACCTGGGAGGTCAAGGCTGCAGTGAGCCAAACTCATGCCACTGCACTCCAGCCTGGGCAACATAGCAAGGCCCTGTCTCAAAAAAAAAAAAAAAGGTAATTTAAAAAATTAAAAAATAAATTTAAGCTGGGCTTGTTCATTGTGTTTGTTTTATTCCCATTCTGAAACTCACTTCAGAAACATAACTTTCTCCTGTGAGTGCGAATTACCTTAGATTTTTCTTGGGATTTTTGTACTGATCTTCAATATTCTGGTCTTCTGATATCATTTCTAAAAGGTAGACCCAGAAAATCACTATAAATTATTAGAAAAGTATATACAACAGTTAAGATTTTATATATACTGCAATCATAGTATTTTATATATACTGCAATTTAGTCACCAAACTACAATTGATTCTGTACAGTCTGCAGTTGGAGGTGGAGTCTTGCTCTGTCATCAGGCTGGAGTGCAGTGGCATAATCTCGGCTCATGGCAACCTCCAGCCTCCCAGGTTCAAGCGATTCTCCTGCCTCAGCCTCCTGAGTAGCTGGGATTATAGGTGTGCACCAACACACCCAGCTAATTTTTGTATTTTTAGTAGAGACGGGTTTTATCATGTTGGTCAGACTGTTCTAGAACTCCTGATCTTGTGATCCACCTACCCCAGCCTCTCAAAGTACTGGGATTACAGGCATGAGCCACTGTACCTGGCCTTACAGTTGACTCTTGAGCAACACAGGTTTAAACTGCACAGCTCTACCTATATGTGAATTTTCTTTAGTCTCTGCTAACCCTGAGATACCAGAATCAATTCTTCCTCTTACTTAGCCTTCTCAATGTAAAGATGAGAAAAAAACCTTTATGATCATCTACCTCCACTTAATGAATAGTAAATATTTCTTTTCTGCCCAGCTACCTGACCACGGCCAGTCTTCCCTGGACACCATGAACCACACGGTCCAAACCTTCTTCACTCCCGCCAGCACCAGCGTCCCCCGGACTATGAGATGCTGAAGGAGGAACATGAGGTGGCTGCGCTGGGGGCGCCCCACAACCCTGCGCCCCCGACATCCACCGTGATCCACATCCGAAGCGAGACCTCCGTGCCCGACCACGTCGTCTGGTCCCTGTTCAACACCCTCTTCATAAACTCCTGCTGCCTGGGCTTAATAGCGTTCGCCTACTCCGTGAAGTCTAGGGACAGGAAGATGGTTGGCGACCTGACCGGGGCCCAGGCCTACGCCTCCACTGCCAAGTGCCTGAACATCTGGGCCCTGATCTTGGGCATCCTCATGACCATTCTGCTGATCATCATCCCAATACTGATTCTACAAGCCTATCAGTAGATCAGAGGAATCATCCCGGCCAGGGGCTCTGCCCGGGACCTGTCTCCCACGTACTCCCGCTTCCATTCCTCGCCCTGCCCCCAGCCGATCCTGTATCAGCCTTTTTCCCTCACACAGTTTTCCACAGTTGTGTTCAATAAAGTGCACATGTTCCTGGTTTAAAATATATATATATATATTTCTTTTCTTTATGATTTTATCAATATTTTCTTTCTCTAGCTCACTTTATTGTGAGAATATAGTATGCAATACATATTACTTAGAACATATGGATTAATCAACTGTTTATGTCACCAGTAAGGCTGCTGATCAACAGCTGCTTAAGCTACAGTGGACAAAAAGTTAGATGAGGATGTACAACTTCTTTGGGGGCTGTCACTTCTGAATTCTGTGTTGTTCAAGAGTCCATCATTTGCCCTTTCCACATTTAAAATCATTGAACAGCACTGATAACCGTGAAACAAATGTCTCTAGTTGATTAAGTGAAGACATGATTTTATCCTTACTTATACAATCCAGGTTTCTGATGGTTTCTTGCATCACATCTCTGTAGAGTTTCTTTTGTGATGGACCCAGCAAAGCCCATTCCTCCTGGGTAAAGTTCACAGCCACATCCTCAAGGGCCACTGTGTCCTGAAACATCCCACACATAAAGAAGAGAAAGGTTGAGTGACAGTACTGAAAAATCTATACTCAATTCATAAACTTCATATGATGCTGTGCTTTCCAAGCATTTATTCAATGACATAGCAAACTGTCTCATATTCTGTCTATACTCACTTTCTCCCACACAGCCATTTTGATGCTAGAGTTCAACATGTTTGCTAAAGTTACAGTTGAACAGGAACAGGTCTCTTGTTGGTGAGTTAAATGAGTCTTATTGCCTGGATCATCCTAATGTCTATTTCTGTAGTGGGTTGTAGTTCTTGTCATGACAAAGTCCTATTACCTATTGTTCAGAACAGAGTTACTATTAGCAGTCCTGAAACTACATGTCCTTCCAAAATCTTATTCTGAAAGTTGGACCTTTTATGGTGTCTAGGAACTGGATTTAAGGAGTGCCCTACCAACCTAACTAATAACAGGGCTTGGTTGTATCTACACTGTTTATGCAAAAAGTATATTATTTTCTTAGCTCCTATGTTCTGAGAGTTTGGAATCTTACAAACTCAACAGAGGGAGCATATGTGATCAGCCACTGCTAAGTTTGAATGTTGGTCCCCTCCAAAACACATGTTGAAAGTTAATCAACAAAGTGGGAGTAATAAAAGGTGGAGATTGGAAAGGTGATTAACTCTTGAAGGTTCAGACCTCATGAATAGATTAATCTATTCATGGATCAATGACTTAATAAATAAATAAGTTATCTCAGGAAGGGGACTGGTGTCCTTATGAGAAGATGGAAGAAACCCGAGTTAGGCAGTTCAGCCCTTGCCATGTAATGCTTTGTGCCATCTAAGAACTCTGCAGAGTCCCCACCAGCAAGAAGGTTCTCACCAGTTGCCCACCCTTACCCTTGGACTTCCCAGCCTCCAGAAAAGTAAAAAACAAATATTGTCCCTTATAAATCATCCAAGTTCAGATATTCTTAAGCAACAAAAAACAGACTAAGCCAGCCACCAAAAAACACTATAGGCACTGGTCTCCGATGAGAGGCCCTAGTAAATAAAATTTCATGTGATTTTTGCAACTCATTAGTTGGAGGATTCAGCACAACCTCTGGGATTATACTCACAGAAAATCTGGAAGCTGGTAACTGGTTTCCTCTAGACAAACGTAGTTAAGCATGACAAAAGAATAATAAAAGATATTTTACCATCCCAGTGGAAAACTTTTGAACATTTTATTGGGTAATGTCAAAGGAGAAGGAAAGAAGGACAATGAGAGAATGTATTCTTAGAAAAGAACTCAACTCAATGCTATCTCTCATGAATATTTATAATATTCCTTTAATAACTAAAACAGATCTTTTAGAAGTCAACTAAAATTACATTACCAGCTGGGCACCATGGCTCATGCCTGTAATCACAGCACTTTGAGAGGCCAGGGCAGATGGACCATTTCAGCCCAGGAGTTTGAGACCAGTCTGGGCACATGGCAAAACCCCATCTCTATAAAAAATGCAAAAAAAATTAGCTGGACATGGTGGTGTGTGAGTAGTCCCAGCTAATGGGGAGGCTGAGGTGGGAGGATCATCTGAGCCCAAGAACTGAAGACCATAGTGAACCATTATTGAGCCACTACATTCCAGCATGGGTGACACAGTGAGACTGTCTCAAATAAATAAATAAATGAATAAAATTACACTACCAAATCTAATAGAAGTCACAAATGTCTAAAAATGCTAAAAACCCTCTCACCAACAAAGTGACAGCTTTACAAAAATAGATAAAGGATTTTGAAACTATAATATGCAGCATCCCACACTAGTAACAAAGAGATAAATTAAAGTGAAAAATGGTAGGAAAGCCTTGTGGAGCTTTTATTTGTCCTTGGCTCAATCACTCTCCACCTTCATGCCAGTCTTAAAGACAGCAGCCTGAGATCCCAGTGTGGAACCCTAGTCACTAATTCTAGAGAAATCAGATCAGATGTTATTCACAAAATATTGCCTTTGTATTTTCCAATCATTCTGGGGATGATTTGAAGGTGTGAAACAAGGCTCTCTTTTCTGTTTCATCTATCATGGTATCTAGTTAGGGTCAAACATAAGAAATGCTGATGGGCTAAATGCAGTGGCTCACGCCTGTAATCCCAGGTGGATCACAAGGTCAAGAAATCAAGACCATCCTGGCCAACATGGTAAAACCCCATCTCTACTAAAAATACAAAAATTAGCTGGGCGTGGTGGTGCTTGCCTGTAGTCCCAGTGACTCAGGAGGCTGAGGCAGGAGAATTGCTTGAACCCAGGAGGTGGAGGTTACAGTGAGCGGAGATTGCACCACTGCACTCCAGCCTGGTACCTGATGACAGAGTAAGACTGTCTCCAAAAAAACAAAAAAAAGAAAGAAAGAAATGCTGATGAAAGGGCCGGGCATGGTGGCTCACGCCTACAATTCCAGCACTTTGGGAGGCCAAAGTGGGTGGATCACCTGAGGTCAGGAGTTGAAGACCAGCCCGCCCAACATGGCAAAACCCCATCTCTACTAAAAATACAAAAAATTAGTCAGGTGTGGTGGTTGGGTGTCCATAATCCCAGCTACTCAGGCTGAGGCAAGAGAATTGCTTGAACCTGGGAGGTGAAGGTTGCAGTGAGCCAAGATCGCGCCACTGCACTCCAGCCTGGGCAAGAAGAGCAAAACTCCATCTCAAAAAAGAAAAAAGAAATGCTGATGAAAAATGGTGCAAAATACACAAACAGCCTGCAACTATGCAACTACCTGGGACAACAGATTATAATTAAGATATACATTAAGGTCGGGTGCAGTGGCTCACATCTGTAATCCCAGCACTTTGGATCACAAGGTCAGGGGTTCAAGACCAGCCTGGCCAACAGAGTGAAACCCTGTCTTTACTAAAAATACAAAAATTAGCCAGGCATGGCGGCACATGCCTGTAGTCCCACTTACTCAGGAGGCTGAGGCAGGAGAATCACTTGAACCTGGGAGGCGGAGGTTGAGATGAGCCAAGATCATGCCACCGTACTCCAGCCTGGGCAACAGAGCAAGACTCTGTCTCAAAAAGAAAAAAGACATACATTAGACCATCTAAATCCAAAAGGAAAAAACTGGAGAGGATCACTTGAGGTCAGGAGTTCAAGACTAGCCTGGTCAACCTGGTGAAAGCCCATCTCTACTAAAAATACAAAAATTAGCTGGGTGTGGGGGTGCACACCTATAGTCCCAGATACTCAGGAGGCTGAGGCAGGAGAATCATTTCAATCCAGGAGGTGGAGGTTACAGTGAGCCAAGATTATGCCACTGCACTCTGGCCTGGGCAACAGAGTGAGACTCCATCTCAAAAAAAAAAAAAAAAAAAAAAAAGAGAGAAAGAGAAAATCAGCTGAAATAAAGATAAAACAATTGAATCTACCCATTTGGAGAAGGGGAGAAATGTCGGGGATGAGATGGAGAAAATGTATGAGTGGTGTACCTGCCTTGCCAGTAATATTAATATTAAAAGAAGTTTATCAGAAAAAAGAGAAACGATATGGGTTAGAAATTCACATCACATTAAATGAAGACACAAAAAATGATCTGCTTTTCTAACACCTACCTGATCTAATAGATGCAGGGGTGCTCAAAATAATAATATCAACAATGATGCCGGGCGCAGTGGCTCAAGCCTGTAATCCCAGCACTTTGGGAGGCTGAGGCGGGTGGATCACGAGGTCAAGAGATCCAGACCATCCTGGTCAACATGGTGAAACCCCGTCTCTATTAAAAATACAAAAAATTAGCTGGGCACAGTGGCACGTGCCTGTAATTCCAGCTACTCAGGAAGCTGAGGCAGGAGAATTGCCTGAACCCAGCAGACGGAGGTTGCGATGAGCCGAGATCGCGCCATTGCACTCCAGCCTGGGTAACAAGAGCGAAACTCCGTCCAAAATAATAATAATATCAACAATGAGGCCAGGCACAGTGGCTCACGCCTGTAATCCTAGCACTTTGAAAGGCCGAGGCAGGCGATCCCCTGAGGTCATGAATTCGAGACCAGCCTGGCCAACAGGGTGAAACCCCATCTCTACTAAAAATACAAAAAAATTATCTGGGTGTGGTGGCAAATGCCTATAATCCCAGCTACTCAGAGGCTGAGACAGGATAATCTCTTGAACCAAGGAGGCAGAGGTTGCAGTGAGCCAAGTTTGTGCCACTGTACTCCAGCATGGGCAACAAAGCAAGATTCCCTCTCAAAAAAAAAAAAAAATCAACATATTGGGTGTTATAGATCCCAATTGTGCAAATGAAGGATGGTGATGATTTATGGAATGAAAGGAAGAAGTTTCAAACAGTTTATTATACCAGCACTAACCCTGAAGCCAGTACAGTGTTTTTTGAAACTGTAAGTCCATTAGTTGTGAATGGTATAATACATACCCTATGGAATTCACTAAAAAACCTAAAAATCAAGTAGACATACTATACTAATAGAATAAAGAAAATCACATTCCACTCAACTAACATAAAAGAAAAAGAGAGGTAGTTAAAAAAACATGCAAGTGCAACAAATAGAAAACAGTAATATTATACATATACATATTAATCCAATTATATCAATTACCACATTAAGTGTGTATTATCTATATTTGCCAGTAAAAAAGATGAGCACTGGTAGAGTAGAATATAAATACAAGGCCTGGCTGGACGTAGTGGCTAATGCCTGTAATCCCAGCACTTTTGAGAGGCCAAGGCAAGCGGATCACCTGAGGTTGGCAGTTTGCAACCAGCCTGACCAATATGGAGAAACCCCGTCTCTACTAAAAATACAAAATTAGCCAGGCATGGTGGCGGATGCCTGTAATCCCCACTACTTGGGAGGCTGAAGCAGGAGAATCACTTAAACACAGGAGGCAGAGGTTGCAGTGAGCTGAGATTGTGCCATTGCACTCCAGCCTGGGCAACAAGAGCGAAACTCTGTCTCAAAAAATAAATAAATAAAAATGCAAGGCCTAGTAATGTGTACATAAAAACCAT